ACCTGGGAGCTTCGTGAAGTATGAGTGTGTGTTCAGGTCACCTGTAATGGGAGTACAGGGGTGGGAGGACTCAGGAGACCTTGGGACCCTATGTGGGGAAACGGCCCCAAGAATGGAGAGGAAACTGCCCAAGGTCACACGGTCAGTTGATGAGCTGGGCTTTCTGTTAGGCCCTGTCCTACCAGCCTTCCTGCATCAGCAGAACATTTGGTACTATCCGGCTGATCAGCTARATCTGGCCTGTGCTCTGYTCCCCCAGCCTGTGCCCCACTAGCCAAGCTGAACCACCCTGTGTGGACTCCTTTCCACAGAGTGCACAGCCCCACTTGCACGCAGAAGAAAGGGAGCCTTTTTCTCTGCTCAGAAATATCACAGGGCTGGTCCCTCTGAGCAGTGTACCTTGTCCTGTTGTGTATAAATATTCTTTAAGTGGGGCCCTGGCTTATTTCAGGGGAGGCAAGCGCCYACCCACCCCCATCAATTTGAAGACCTGTGGTCTCCCTCCAGGCCTTCGGCTTCTGGATTCTCTTTCTGGTCTCTTCCCTTTTCCCTTGTTCTCCTTCTCTGGCTTCTCTGTATTCCAGATCTCATTATCTAGTCCTTGTCTCCATCTCTTTCTCTCTTTGTCTTGGTGTCTCTCCCTTTCTCTCTCCCTCCATGGTCTCTGTCTCTTACTCTCTGTCTCTCCACTTCTCCTCTTTGTCCTTCTATCTGTTSCCACAGGTCCTGGAGCTCTCCTCCTCTTGCATGTCCCTCTCTGAGACTCTCATTGCTCTTCTCTCTGCCTCCTTCTCTTTGTCGCCGCAGGTCGGTGTGCCCCACCCATCACGACCCTCCCTCCCTCCTCCTCTGCTCACCCATGCCTCTGCGGATGATATGGAGGAGGCTTCCTGCAGAGAGCTGGCCAGAGGACAGCTGGAAGCCAGTGCTGAAGGGCTAAGCTGCTGGGCAGCAGCCAGGAGACCCAGGGAGCACAGGCCAGGCAGGCCGAGTCCAAACTCCATGAGGCCCTTTTGGAAACTTTCCACAACCTTCCCTGCAGGTTCCAGAATGGGTGTGGTACATTTTTCAGGATTTCTGACCCAAGAGACAAGCTTCAGCCCTGTCTGCCAGCCCCTGGGGACAACACATGCTAAACCCTGGCTCAAGGGTTGGTGCAGAGGGTGAAGCTCCCGAGGTTGGTGGAATGTGGAGAAGTATCACCAAGAGACAAGGCAGGGGATGAATGGAGGGGACTCGGGTCTCGTGGGGTAGGATGAGATCACGGAAAGGATGTGGAGTAACAGGTTTTGTCACTCATTCACTCACAAATGTTCATGGAGTCACTGCCGTCCCCCCTTCAAGTGGCTCTTTGGGAGCCGTTGTTCTGACAGTCAGCTCTGGGGTATGGGAAGGTCAGTGTAGCAGCGGTAGGGAGAGGGGACCAAGGAGAACAGGATGGTTTCTGCAGAGGCTCAGGCAGCAGGTGGTAGTGGCAGGGGCAGTCCCATGTGTTTGAGAGGAAACATCAGAGGTCATTGGTGACTGAAGGAGGATGAGGAGGGAAAGGAGTCCACCCAGGGTGGTTCAGCTTGGCTGGGGAGGACTTTTCTGGAAAGTAGGGCAAGCTTGGTTGGTAGGTGCTGAGGAGCATTAGGTRAGCTGTCCACAGGTGGCTGGACAGATGAGTCTGGGCCAGGGGGACAATTCCAGAGTCATCAGCATTGTGTGGTGATTGAACCTGGCAGGGTGGATGACTTGTCCCTGGAGTGAGCGGAATGAAGAGCAAAGAGACCAAGGGCAGGACCCCAAGTGCCCTGGCATTATTAGGCAGGAGGAAAAAGCCCACGGGGAACACAGCCAGAGCCATGTGGGGTGGTGAGGAATGCACAGGGCAGGAGAGGGGCCAGGGACCTGGAGAGTGCAGCTGTCATCAACCCAACTGTGGGGTCCTGTGAGGTCAAGCCCTAGAGAGGGAGGGATGGTGGGAGCACAGGCTGGGTGTGCRTGACCACGCAGACCACATGGCATGGCGCACCTGGAGGTATACAAGGAGCAGAGGGAGGACACCATTCTCCACCCCCAGAGCAAGGGAGGAGCAGATGTGGCTTACAGCAGGAGAGGATGAGAATTTCAAAAGATCAGGATCTCCCCTGATGGCTGCCATCTTCTCCAGATATCACAAGTCTTCTGTTTAGAGCAGCAGTGGTCTGACACCCTTGAGTTGAGGGAACACAGGGAAGCACCCACCRGATCCGGGAAACACTGCCACACAGTGCTCAGGATCCAGTGGTGTCCTGAGAGGCCCTTGTGGTCAGGGCTGTGTTGGGGCCATGCCGAGGCCTAGGCCCCTCTGAATTCCTCCTTCTCCCAGCCCCAAGCCTCCAGCAGTCAGCAGATACTTGCTGCTGCTGCTCCACTGCAGCCTGATGCATGCTGCCTTCCTTGGCTACTCTTGAAATCCTCTGGGCAGACACAGAGACCAGTGTTGGACCATGAGGCCCTTATCTTTAAACTCAGGTCTCCATGGAGGCAGAGGGATTCCCTCTTTTGCCAGGAACAGAGTCCAGGGGCTTCTGACAGAGGTGTGAAGCCAGGATACTGCAGGCCATCACTGCCTGTGCCCTTCTAGCCCACCCATGCCACAGAGCAAGCCAGAAGATGGATGCTTCTGGACTAGCCAGAACTGTCAGCTCATCCATCATTCATGAGAGCTCTGGCCTTTACCTCATTAGAGCTTTATCACTTTCCCCAAGGAGCCAAAGTGCTATGGATTCATCTGATATATGGGAAAATGGAGGCTGGTCAAAGAGAAGCCACTTGTCCAGGACCATGGACTGAGGAGGAGACTCAGAGCTTGGCAAGAGCATAGGTCTTCTGTTCTCAACAGCATAAGTCAGGGCCAGAGCTCCAGAAGGGCCTGTTCATGTCTTTGCTCTCCAGGTCTCTTTTGTAGTTAGCTTCCCCCACACACCCCACTCCCATCCTAGCCTCTGCACATGCCATCCTTTCCCAAGTACCACTCTACTCYCATACTCACCTTGTTGCCTAAGCTACCCCCACAAGAAGTCCCCCCTACTCCCAAGCTGACTTGGATGTCTCCCGTGTACCCACACCAGCTGTCATGTGTCTGTCTGCATCATGCTTAGTACTCCAATCACAAGAGCCCCATTTTCAAGAAAAACTACCTGGAACGGCCCCTGCCTAGACACCACTGTCCAGTGCAAGATAGCATTCAGTGTTGGCTAAGCAAATGGAATAAATTGGTAGGGAGTGGGAGGGATGGGAGTGCCTTTCCATAATGGTGTCAAGTCAAACAAAAACCTCTGTACTGACTGAGCTAGAGGAGCCATGGACACCATGAAGTATAAACCCTCTCCGCCTGAGGAATGGGAGGGTACTGGGTGTGCCCAGGGTTTCRGCGGAGGGGATGCTGGTCCATAACATCTGGCCTTCCTAGTCCAGTGTTCTTTCCCATGATCCCCAGGTGGGACTGCAGGGACTGTGGGCGATGGGCAACCTGGGAGAGGAGAGGAGTCTGGCAGGCCACGGGGCTGTAGGACAGGCCCCTCTGCTCCAGCTATTGCACAGGCCCAGCCAGGCTTCATCTGCCCCGGAAGCCTGTCCATTCCTGCCGGCTTGTCCATTCTCTGTCCTCCTCCACCTCCCTGGRGCTGTCAGCATACTGACCTTCCTGCTTCCCACCTGTCACCACCCATCACAGGCAATCAGAGTCAGAGGGCAGAGATATCCCCCCAGGTCTGGGATGAAAGGTGAGCAGGAGCGGGGAGTGCTGCTCAGGAGAGCSGCCTCACAAGACTGACTCACAGTGGGAGGGGCCAGGGCCCTGGGCAAGCACCCAGCCAACGCACACATTGAGTAGGAGGGAGTCTGAGGACCAGGAAGCAGAGGGGCATTGCAGGATGCTGACTCCCAGCAGCCTCTGCTTTCACAGTCATTTGGCCTTTTGAGGATTGTCCCTAACCTGAACCTGGGAAAGGCTTCCCCTGAGTTCTCAGACTTCATGCCTGCATTAAAAAAAAAAAAAAAAAAAAAAAAAGACATTTCCTCTCTCTCTTCTGCAGATTTACACTAAGTTCTCCATTTGTATATTCACAGTGCCTGGTACAGAGCAGGTCACAGGGAAAGGGCATCATAAATGTTTGCTGAACAAATGAATAGTGGAGGGGGTGTTGAAGAAGACAGCTCCCCTCCCCACCACACACACTTCTGACACCACCTCTGGAGGGATCACTCTGTGTTCGTACTTCTTCTAGGCCACTTTCTGTGCCTGCTGGACCCTGCAATTAGCAGGCTTCACTGGGCTCCCCCACAGGGTTCTGAGACCTCAATGGCCATCCCAGGATATTAGTCACTGTGTGTGCTCCAGAAATGTTGGGTAGATGATAAACAAATGAATCTATGATGTTCAAACCCTACCAGTGTGTGTTGAGTTGGCACTAGGCAATGGTGATGTAGTCTCTGTCCTTAGSGACCTGTCCAGGAGACCCACAAGGACGAAGAGGACCCTACCCCCATGCTGTAGGAGGAGGCACAAGTGAGAACTTACAAAGATGAGCTGTAGGCCTGCTGGGGCTGGAGAGTTTCTTGGAGCTGGGTTTATGTGACTGCTGGAGGTTCSCCAGCCTGGACAGTCAGTGGCTGGGGTCGACTTAGTGGCAGGAGGCACAGTAATGCAACAGGAAGCTCTTGGAGCCCTTACTATGTGCCCACCATGGCTCTCTATAACCTTCACAACCAACATCCCAATCATTCCCACTTTTCAAATGAGGAAACTGGGGATTTAATCATAGCTGTGAGCAGCAGAGCCAGAATAGGAACCCAGATACGGTGACAGCAGGGCCACATCTTACCCAGGGGTCATATTGCCTTTTGGAGTCTAGGGCCTTGACTGGTGCAGCTCACTGGTCCAAACACAAACACTGGGGATGTCCCAAACCTGTCTCCACTGACAAGCAACCTGACATGTGACTGAGCCTGCTTTGTGTCTTATGTTTTAGGTCACTTTCTAGGGAACAACACTGTCATTGATGTCCTGCGGCAGGCAGGGCTGGAGGTGGACCATACTCCTGCAGGGCAGGCCATCCACAGGTAAGCAACAGGGGCCTAGAGCATCTTGGGACTGGCTGGCTTGCAGCTGCCTGTCACAGGCCATGCCTGAACACATGCTTCATGGCTGGCTACCCCTGCCTTCCTGCTCAGGCTTGAGGGTAGAGTTTTGGAAAAAAAAAATATATTGTAATGGTGCCTCCTGGGGACCAACCGGACCAGGCACCTACAACTGGAGGCAGGTAGGAAAGCAGAAAGGGGCCTGGTATCCAATCTTAATGGCAGGTCACAGTGGGACCAGATTTAGCAGTGGGATTTTGCAAATCCCACTAGGGAATTTTAGTGGGTAGCACTAGGATTTGCTATAGGCTTGGAATTGAAACACTGGTGAATTGGATGGGGATTGGAGGATTTGGTGGATGTCCCAGCCCTAAATCTCCATGGYGCTATGGGAGGACAAGCCACAGCCTGGCCTCTTCCCTGCATTTAGCCCCATTCCTTGGCAGCYCTGCTGTCATGCCCTCACCTGGTCCACACCTTCCTGCCTGCACCCTCTCCATTGCTGCCTCTGGTTTTCCTGCCAGGACACACCCACCCATCACCCCTGACTTTTGTGCCAGGCACACCCACTCTGCTCATGGAACCACTGTTCCCCATCTTCTCTTCCTGTCCCCTGTTTCCTGCCCTATCCCCAACACCAAGTTCAGGAGCTGCCCAAGGACAGGGACCAGCTCAGTCTGTCTATGGGTCCTCAGCATCAGCACCAGGAAAGAGTCAGGTTTTAGATCCCATGCAGTCCCCGAGGTCAATGTCAGGATGCTCAAACCTCAGGRTTCAGTGAAGCCCACTCTCTATCCATTACACCAAAACCTTCTTCACCAACCTGCAAGGGGGACCACAGCATGACTTAAGGTTATAACCCTGTCCTTAAGGTTATAAGACCCAGGGACCGAAAAAAACTTGAATAGTCACAACAGGTCACTAATGGCTGCTTACTCTGTACAGAGCTCTAAGGGCTCCTTCTAACTCCTAACTTGTTATCTTCACAACAACCTCGCAGTGGAGGAACTGTGTGTCCCCATCTTGATAAGTGAAAGAACCCAGAGAGGTGAAGGCAAACTCAGCTCATGTAAGTGACAGCCTGGCTCTGGGCCTCCTGAGCTCCTAACTTCTCTTTATACCAACTCTGGAGGTTGGAGTGGGGGCTCTGGAAGGACTGAGACCTTGATCTTCAGAGACATGAGCTGCTGATCTCCTAGCTGCAGGCCATACTTCCCTGGCTCCATGGCATTCCTARAGGAACTTTTAAACATTGGCACTGAGCCTCCTCCCCAGTGCATCTTCTGCATTAACCTGAAAGATCGCTCTTCCTGCAGGAACCATTTGAACCCAGCACAAAGCAATTTGTGTGGGGGCGGGAGGCCAGCAGTCTTGCTTAAGAGGTGGAGAATCCAAGGTAGTTTCAGGGTCAAGACATTCCTCAAGTTCCCTCCTCTCCCCTTGCCTCCCCCTCCCCGCACATCCCTGAAGGTCTTTCCTAAAAGCTCATTGTGTGTGGCCTGGCCAGGGCAGAGAAGGCTGGCAGGCTCTGAGGCTGGGGAGCCTCCTATTCATCTTGGAAACCAGGCCTTAATGGAGGTGTCCCCCACTGCACCCCCACGGGCTCTGCTCTGCKGGTTCTCAGCCTCGTCTCCTGCACAGGGAGCAAGTGGGGGTGGGGACGCTGAGTAGGCTCCAACAATAAAAACCATCCTCAGCCACAGGTGCTTCCTGGATCTATCTTTTTGTCTGACTGTTTTGAATTATCTCCCCAACAGCTGCGACATCTCCTAGCAGCCTGGACCCTGGGAATCTGGGGTTGCCATGGGGGCTGGGAGAGGACAGGCTGAGCTGATGGCCTTTTTTCCATCAAAGCAAGAGATGCCCCTCACCCATTGTGCTGGGAGAATGGAGTGGGGGGACAGGCTGCAGGACTGTAAGCGGCCTTGGGTACCACCTACCCTTGCAAGCTGCCTGCTCAGAAACCGCTCCTGAAACCGCTCCTGAAACCACTCCCAACCTTCTCCCAGGGTTGGATGTCCCCAAAAGGAATTCCRCTGAGGCTACTGAGGAGAGAGAATAAAAGTGGGGAGAGCAGAGGATGTTCCCAGCCTGGGGCCTATGTGTGTACCCCTGTATGGACCATGAATTCCACAGACATGCCTACGTGACACTTCAGTGCCTGCCCAACAGGCAGGTCCTTTTGCTGATGGACAACATCAGAGACAGGTGCGTTAGGAGACAGGCCCTATTCTAAGTGCTGTGCCTGTGTTCACCTACATCATTCTCCTGCCCCGCTAGGCACAGGCTGTCGTAGCCCTGTTTTTAAGGAAGCACACTGAAGATAGATAACTCGCCTACTGTCCCTCAGCCAGATCTGTGGATGTGTGAGACCCTGACCTTGATCAAGATCAGACATGCCCACAGACCTCACTGCCTCCTAGTCTAGGCTCACATGTCACCCTTTGGTCCCTGACCAGCACCCTCTCTCCCTTGGGTTCTCAATCTGTCTCTATTTTCTTCTCACCATCTGATGTCCTATATGTTCGACTCTTGTCTTCTGCTCCGAAATAGAAGTTCTAAGAGGGCAGGGACAGTATCTGTTTTGGTCTGTGCTGATATTTAATTCCTAGAAGAGTGTCTGGTACCAAGTAGGAGCTTAATATATATTTATTGACGACATAGGTGAAAGGCGGAATCGGTGCCCCATCTCTCATACCAGATGACGGTGTTCCTGGGCTTCTTCTCACAGGGCCGGGCAGGGTGTCTTTGCATTTTTTTTTTTCCTCCCCAGTGACTTTCCCACAGAATTGCTTTCCCTGTCACATATGCATGACACGCTCCTGTGCTGTTCCCCTTTCCAGCCCTGCTGCTGGGAGCCCAGTGCCCGCTCCTGAGGGGACCTCAACCAGCCCTGCCCCAGCCACCCCAGCTGCCGCTGTCCCTGCAGCACCCTCAGTGACCCCCACCACCCCGCCTGAGGAGGATGACCCAGCCCTGTCCCCACACCTCCTGCTCCCTGACAGCCTCAACCAGCTGGAGGAGTTTGGACGGCAAAAGAAGTGGCACAAGAGGCAGAATAAACACCAGCGACCGCGGCAATTCAATGACCTCTGGGTCCGCATCGAGGACAGGTGAGGAGGACAGGGGTGGGTGGCCCAGGAGCTGGATATGGACACTCCCTCCCATGCCCCCAAGGTGGGGTGCACGGTCACCAGGYGAGCCCTGCTCTGAGCAAGTGGGGCAGGGGATATCCGAGTGGAAACTCCTGGGCTGCCTCTTCCCTCTCCACAAAGGATTCCTTGGGGGTTTTTAGAGCACATCCACGTCTGATTTTGCAGATATAGTTTCAAGACAAAAGCAAGAACAATTCTCTGCTCTTTTATAAGTGAAGCTCCGGTGCAAAGGAGCCTGCTTTACACTTGGCCGCCCTGGGCCACCTGTGGTGTGCCAAGCAGTTTCTAGTTGTCCCATGGACAGAGGGAGCACCTAGTAACAAACAGGACATGCTTGCTAGGCCAAAAGCTCCTTGTGCCTGAAAAATCTAAGTGGTGACATSCGGGCACGGAGGCTGCTAAGGGGACTCCACTTTGAGAGAGATGAGACAGACAATGGCTGTCTAATGCTGGGGACTCCATCTCAAAAGCAGTCCTAGTAAACCTTGTGTAAATGGTCAGGTACAGATCGTCCTAACATACTGAGATCCCTCCGTCCTCTTTCTGTGTGTTCCTCCTGCCACCAAAACCATCCCCTCTCAGCCTGTCCGTCACCAGAACTTCTGCTGTCACCAAGACTCTCTCTGCTGTCCTCTGCCTGCAGTCTCTACAGAGCAGTCTCCTTACATTCCTGTTTAGCAGCCATCTCCATATACAGAGAATAGTTTCCCTAGAATACCAGGGAAGTCCCAGGGAGGGACTGTCAGTATACCCCAGATCCCGTGCCCCCAGCAGTGGGCCCTTGGAATCCAGAGTCCAATCTGTACCCTAAAGATATCATCCAGAATTTTCCTCAGCAACCTGGACAGAATCACCTTGGGTAACTTGTTAAATAAACAAATCCCCAGGCCCCACCACAGACATAATGAATCAGGATCTTCGGGGCAGAGGCCTGGGAAGCCCGTGTGAATGTGCACCTGGAGATTCTTCCCAGTGTCTTTGGGAAACACTTGCTCAACTCTGCACTTATGGAGGATAAACCAAGGGGAAGGCTCTGTCTAGGGCCACCCAGGGAAGCAGGGGCTGCTCCCTACACTTGCCAYTACATGGTTCTCCCATAGCCTGATCACTGAGCCTTTGACAGAAAAGTTGACGTATCAGCCCCCTGCCATAAAGCGGAGGGTGTGCACTATCTTAAAAAAAAAAAAATCTTGGAACAAAAATGAGTTGAGCTTTGTAGCCTTTGGGCATGGGTTTCAAAGCACCTGGCTTRGTGTACTGGAAATGTACTTCCATCGAGCTCTCCCTGGCCCTACCTATCTGAGGTAGAGGCATCGCTGTAGCTATATTTATTGCAACATATGGGCCACCCCTGTCTAATCAGGAGCCAGGGCAGAGAGCTKCAGGGAGTGCCTTTCTTCGGTGGTGGGCAGGGTTTTGTATGCTGCCAAGAAGGCAGGGGCAAGAGAAAGAGCTGGCAGCCATTAAGGGTTCCAATTAGGCTGGGCATTCATGTCCACAATCCAGGGTGACCAGGAGTCCCGCCAGAGGTGGGTCCAACCCATGAGGTGACAGAGGGCTGGGCTGTCAGCTCCAGCCATGGGCCCCCAGCCCCTAACCACGTCTGAAAGGTAAATGTGGGCAAATGACTCCAAACGGTTTCCTTTTCACAACATGTCGATCTGAAACACAGAGCCTGGTTTCACAAGAAAAATAGCTTTTCTTTGGCAAGAGGGAGCCCCTTCTCTATCCCAACAGGTAAATTGTGGTTGGCCAACTTTCCTCCATCTGGTCAGGTTGGAGAAGGAAGTTTCCACCAAAGGCAGCCTGTTTGTTAAATTTCTCACTGCTTCTTGGGGTAAGCAGGGCCTGAGCTCCCCAAGAGGCCCAGTGCAGGGCACAGGCTCCATACCTTCCAGGGATCCCCAAATTTCCAAGAAGAAGCAGAGGAGCTACACACTTGTAGCCCTTTGATCAAATCATTTTCTTTGGAGCTTTAATTTATTCAGTTTTCTCATTTTCTTTCCCCCAAATGCTCTCTGTCAACTCTCCCTGCTCATCTTCCTCCTAGGATCCTGCAGCAGGGTCCTAATGGGTCCCCTGGCCCCAGGCCTCGCCCTCCTGCATTGTTCTTGCTCTGTTGGAGCTCCTGCAGGGTTCCCACTGCCAGGAAAACTTGCCCAGTTATAGGAGCCTCGCCTTTCCTGCCTCCCCAGCTGCCTCTCTTCCCCCAGGTACTGTCAGGTCCAACCCCCGTGGGCCATGTAAAGGCCCCAGTGCGCCAGGCCCAGCCCTCCACCCTGTTGTACCTGCTTCCCTCTCTGCTCCGGGTGAGGTGCAAGTGGCCTTTGTGGAGCTCCCACTCTGCCAGGTGCTGACATCCATCATGGTCTACTTCTGCCAAGAGTCACAGAAGGCAGGCCAGTTTCACAAGCAAGGAAAYAGATGTAGCCAATCAGGGAACTTCCTTCAGACCATACAGAAAGTCACAGAGAGGCAGAACCCGAATCCGGGTCTGTCCAACACTAAGGGCCACATTYATCACCCACTGCCATGGAGTGTCCTTCCCATCCTTGCCTGGCTGAGCTCGCCCCTCCTCCCCYAGCACCCTTGTGGCAGCTCTTGTCCTGGTACCATTGCCACAGGTTCCTCTACTTGTATTTCTAGGCCAGGGGGCCCTGGGGACCAGATCTGATTTGGACGGCTCTGAGTCACCTGAGGCCTTGCTGGGTGTTTGCTGAGTGTACTCATGAACACGAGGAGCCAGGGGTGTGGGCTGTAAGTGCCTGGCCGGAACGCCACCTGGAGCAAGCTAGCTTCCCCTCGCCCCTCATTACCCAAGATGTAAACAGAGTAGAGGAAGTTTAGAGAAGCAGCAGCCCGTGGCAGGATGATTTATGGGTATCCATGGAAAGGGCCAAGAGTGTGTCTGCAGATGGCTGCATGGCAACAGAGCTTTCTCTGGGATCCTCGGCCTCTGAGAGCCAGAGGTGGGCAGCAGGGTGGGGTGTGACCAGGGCAAGCCAAGGTAGAGGCCATTCCCAAGCCATGTGAGCCCTGTGGAAACCCTTCCACATCTTCTTCTATGCAATTAGGGCCTTGGCTGGTCTTTGGAGGTCATGCCAGCTCTATTCTCCAAGTCTCTATTCTCTGTATCTCTGAGCACACAGATACCTATGCACACATAGGAGCATATATCRGGGTGGAGGATTGTATCAATAAGGGAACAGAGTGGCTGACCCACTCTGTAGAGAAGAGGACACCTTCTGAGCGCTGGGCAGGACCAAGGCAAGACTGCCCAAAGGGAGCATCAGTAAGTGATGGAGGCAGAGGCTTGGCGAGTGCCATCAAGCAAGTGCAGAGGGTGCAGGACACATAGGAGCCAGGTCCATTGCCCTCTGGGCTTCAGTTTCCCCTGAAGTTTGAGCAGATGGACAAAGCCCTCAAAGAGAGGAGGAAGCACAGTGTTCCTATCCTGGGGGGCTCTTCACACCTCCTGTTGGCCTTCCCCTCCTGCCCAAGTTCTTGGGCTCTGGTTTTTCCTAACACAAGCAGATCTTTTTCTGGGATGGTCCGAGTCTCCATGTGAGCCTAAGATCCTATGTAATTTAGAGGTGGAAGATGCCCCCTAAGATGTGAGAAACAGAATCACCAAATGAATAAACATACAAATTCTTCCCCACCCTGCATCTGCTCTGGGGTTTAGACATCAAGTGAGATGATGCCCATAGGCACTGAGCTGACCTCAAACCAGCAATAACCAGCAGTGCCACTGGGCCAGCTGCCTCTAATGTTGATCCTTGACTTACAAGTCTCTGGTCCGGGATCCCCAGCTCTCCCCAGTTGCTGCCTGAAATGCTGTAGCATGTCTTAGACTAAAAGCTTTAATTAAATGAGCCATCGAGAGAGTGCTGTGAACTCCCCCCCAGGCTCTCAGGGACATTTTCGGCACATACTGGTTTCCCAGTCTTGTGGTTAGTGTTGCTGGGGGACAGGGACAGATGGCTTCTCGGTGTGGTATCACTGAAAGAGCCCTTGAGCCTCAGCTCCTAAGTAAACCTCTTTTCTCTGAGCCCCAGTTTTTCATCTCAGGGACGGGCAGGCCCTTCCAGCTATGGTCTGCTATGAAGCTGTTTGAAAACATGCCAGTCCACAGGCTAAAGGAGGAATGAAGGTGTTCCCAGCATAAGAGACTATGCAGAAAAGGTGTGAAGCTGGCAGGACCCAGATGCCAGGAAGTGGAGCTGCAGGCACAATGGACACATTGGGTCTCTGCCTCGGTCTTCCTGCTTGGCCAGAGAGGCAGAAGCCCAAACCAGAACCACAATGGGGTCTCTTCCTCAGGTGGCAGGGCTCCCATCACCCAGGCCCTGTATGCCCCAAAGCTGGTCTTCCTTACATCTCTATGAAGCTTTCTAAGGAGCTCCCCAGGCATAGGCACCAGGCCCTTGTATCAGCAAGGAATTCAAGGCAAGAGTTGCCCAGCGCCTCGCCCCGGATGGCTCTCAGAGACCTCTAGTGCTGAAGTTTGCCTCTGCTCCAGGGACCCCTTTGGAGGAGACTCGGGTCAACAGCCGACATTGTCTCTGCTTTTCTGTGCTCCCGCCCTGGGCTTCTGCCTAAGGTCATCCTTCTGGTTTTTATCATTGGAAAATGTTTTAAAGATCCCGGGTTCCTGCTCCTTCATTGTATAGACAGGAAGGCTGAGCCTGAGGACAGTGCCTGCCCAAGTCACACAGCAAGACAGGAACACAGCCCAGGCCAGCGCAGGGCTTCTACCTTCCACCCTGGCCGAGGGACACTTTCCATTCCAGGGGCCCTGTCTACCCAGAGCAGACTTCCCCTTGGTGCCAGGCATCTGTGGAGCCTGRGAATGCTCAGAGTGTTTGCTTTGGCCCCAAGGCCGCTCTGCCATGAGAGAGTTTTCCCCAGCATGAGCCTGGGGGTGGCGGGCAGGGATCTGGACGGGGTGGGGTGGGGGGACGGACTGAGTTTTGTGAACACAGTGGGCTGGGGAGGTGAGGTAGGGGCATTTGGAGGGGCTCATCCCCCTCCCCAGTCCCACCTCATTTCCCTGGGACTCCTTCCAAGCAATAAAAAACCCCACTCAGGCTCCAAGGGGGAGTTTTCAAAGTGTGAAAGAAAATGCCTTCGGGCGCCTGGTGAGACTAGTTCTCATAACTCCTACTTGGTTTTGCCTTCCGTCCGGGGCCAGCCTGGGTCCCGGCTCCAACTGCCTCACAGGGCACACCAGCCCGCTGCCCAGAGCCAGCTCTCTGAGCCTCCCCRCTGTTCAGGCTGGAACGACAGGGCAGCAGCTAGGAAGGAATTTTTATGGACTCTGTGTTGTGTGTGTTTTTTGGTTTTAGTTTTTCTTTTCATTGGAAAAGAAAGGAAGGCGAGGGGCTGAGTTAATGGCCCTGCCAGGCACAGACACTGGTCCCTCCAGGAGCTGAGGCCTTACAGGGCCTCAGTCGACCCTGGCAGCCTCCACCCAGGGCTGTGCGAGGTCTCAGCAAGAAGACAGCACTTCCCCAGGCTGTGCATCGTGTGCTGGCTCACACCTCAGGCAGGGACAGTGCCTTGGCAGCTTGGGCTGGAGGGGACAGACGGCCCCTGCACATCCTATCTTTTGTAGGAAGCCTCATCTCCTTCAACCTCAGTTTCCTCATCCTGGAAGTGGGAATTTAAAAGAACATGATGCAGGTGGTCGCTTCGAGCACACCGTCTGCCGGCACATAGCGTGGCTCATCAATAAGAGATGTCATTGGTGGTGGAGACATAGGCACAAATAGAACACTGCCCTTAAATTAGCCCCCACCATCTGCCGCTGCCTGGCTACCAGGCATTATCCTAAGACACATTAAAACCCATTCAAACCTCAGATAATATGTCTCCACCACTCACTGAGTTCAATGGGAGGTGCGCAAGGTTTTGTGGAACCTTAACTCTGCCAGATGGCATTGAGGGATACAGGACAGATCAAAGAAGTCCTCCAGGGAAGAGGCAGGCCTTTGAAGGTGAATGGGACAATGACAGTAAGGCAGAGAGTGTGACTGAAGAGGCACTGTGTAGGGAAACTGTGAAAGGTGAAGTCACCCTCATGGGAATAGATCGTGATGGGTCTCTGGTGGCGAGAAGCCAGCACCCACAGGAGGCAAGGCACCCTGGATTCCAAGAGTTAAAAGGAGCATTAGAAGCCATTGGCCCACCCAATTCCACAGGCACACTTTGCAGGAACGCTGTGCCTCTGTCCTCTGGGTGGGACAAGGTTTTGCTCTCTCCTCTCACGATAGCTCCTCTGGGACTTTCCAAAGACCAAGGTTCTGTTATATCCCATCTGTAGGCTCCAGGTTGGAAAGAGACCTTGARCAAGATTAAGCATGAGGGCAGCATGGGGCCGGAGAGCCAGGGAGGGTAAGGACCCTTTCCTGTCCTGAGATCCAGAAGGCCTGGACTGGTACCCAAAAGCCATTTGGATTCCCACTCTCAAGCTGAGGTGTCATCCTGAACCTATATGGAGACAGGGGAGTGCTTGCTGACCCCTAGGTTTCCTGGAGGCTGGGTCTGAGCTGTGTGGGAGGCTCTCAGCCAGGATGGGGCTCTGCTGGGGATTATTCCAGGGTTTGCCATGGTCTTAATGACCCAGCCCAAAGAAACATAGGCCAGGGGTACCCCCAGATGACAGCAGCCTGTCAGGGATGGAGGCAGACATCAGGAAGAAGGCAGTGAGCCACATGGAAGAGGCTACCCATGCACAGAACCTGTGCCAACTGCCCTGCCTCACATCTACCAGCCTGCCCCCTAGGCTGCCCAGGGAGGGGTGAGCCTCCTAGCTGCCCACCTGCTAATAACTGCCTAAGTACACAGGGTAACGGTGGCCCCTACCTCCTAGTGCCATCCTGAGTACAAAGGTTAAGATATGGCCAGTGCTTCACACAGGAGCAGGGCCCTGTGGGTACTTGCCTCAACTACTAGGTGTGCCCTCCCCATGGGCAAATCTTCCTGGCTGCAATGTCCCCACTCCCTCAAGACCTTCCTGGTTGAATCACAGCCTCTCTGTGCTCCTGTTGCACACAGGCCCTGCCGTCCCCCTCTGGGTGTGATGGGGTTTGTGGGTTCCTTTGTTCTCATCTTCATCCAGCTCCCTGTAAGCAGGTTTGATCATTGCTTGGGGTCCGTTCCTTCATGGCAGTGCCTGCTCCTCTTCTCCACTTTTCTATCAGACTTCTCCCCTGTGGTCTCTCTTTGTCATCCTCTGTCATTGCCTCCTCTCCTCCCCGTCCCTACCTTTCCCTCTGTTTTCATCCATTTCCCATCTGTCTCTTTCCTGGTCCTGAGCTCCACTGGGCCCTGCCTCCCCGCTCCAGCTTCCCAAGGCCCCATGGGCTGGGCTCAGCCTGCAGAGTCCTCCTGCCTGTCTCCCCTTGTTTCCCTGTCTCCCTCCCTGTTTCCCTCCTCCTCTGCCACACAGGCTTTCTTGAGGCGAGAATCTCACTGGTTACCTCTGAAAATGGTCTCTGTTTTCATAAGTTCATGGAGGATGGCACCTATCACTCTGTGCTGTGCAAAGTGAGCTGGGCCTAGTGCCCCATTGTCATGCCACCCCACTTTCCCCTGTGGCTTGGCCATCAGGGAGCCTCTCTGAGCCCCAGTTTCCTAAAGTGCTGAAAGGGAGACCCATTTTGAAGGTTTGCTTTGAGAACCAGAAACATGGCTTTTAAAGTGCCCGGCTAAGGGGTAGTTTGACAGATGGTGGTGTAGKGATGCGCACAATAAGAACGGTAGCRTGCTTCATTTTCTGTCTCTCGGCAGTTGGGAGGGGAAGCAGCAGGAGGCAGGGGCACCTATGGCCTGGTGTGGGGGCTCAGTACTTCAGGTACCCCAGAGCTGTCTCCTTCCTAGCACTGTACCTCTTTCTGCCTGGGACCCAGTCCTGTGAACAGTGATAGGTGATCTGGCCTGACACCCGGCACAGGAGAGTGTGACTTCCAGAGCTCACCTRGGCAGCTCATCTTCCCTCTCCACGCCCCTGTTTCCTTCCCCCTTTTAATCTAGTCCAGTCCAAGCCCCAGGGCGAGGCTCTGATGGTCACTCTACTGTGTGTTTCCTCCCTTCCAGCACCACCGCCTCGCCACCCCTGCTGCCCCTCCAGCCCACCCCCAGCTCTGGGACCGCCAAGACCCCCTTCCAGCTCTCGGACCAGCCCCAGCAGCAGGACCCAGCAGGGCCCGCCAGCAGCTCAGCRCCCACCCTGGGCCTCCTCCCCATCCTCACCGCCACCGTGGTGGCCCCCTTCCTGCTGCACAATCTGGGGCCCTCCTGACTTCTGCCACCCCGTGCAGAAGCCAGAGAAACAACACGAGGGTCCTCGGCCACACCCCACCGCTCTGGGGCATGTCCAACCCCTCTGGGGCAGTCCAGTCGGGACCCATTAGAACACTAGAGCTTTATTTTACCCAAGTTACATCTTCTTTTTTGTAGAAGGTCTTAATTTCCCATAGTGCTATGGGGCTCTTTTGTAAAATATGTGTCCATATTAAAAGAGAAAAATGTATTTATTCTACCGATAAAACTATTTTTATGTGGCCTATGTTATAACTCCTGAATTAGCCCCAACATCATCAACTCAGGGGTGGGGATCCCCGGTTGTCAAGAYATCTATGACCTCGTGTGGACCGTGGCTGTCAACCGGCTTGCTCCTGGATGGCAGAAGCCTCCTGACTCTGGCTTGGCTTCTCCCACTGCGGGAGGCTCTGAGGGTGGGGCCAGCAAATAGGCTTAGCTTTTGTGAAGCTGGATTTTGGGAGCCGGAAGTGTGAACGCTGGCCATCCTTYCCTCCCCTGGATGCATCCCGGGGCCTGGAAGACACATTGAGAAAAAGAATGCTGCTATTTTAAAACCCCTGAGCGTCTGTGAACTGGCCCTCCAGACCTCTCGGTGAGTATTTCAACCAAAGTGCAGGGGTACGGAGGGAGGCGTTCCCAGTGCCACAGAGCAGATGCCAYGGTGAGATCCAAAGAGAGCGAGTTGGGGCTGCCCAAGGTCGGGATGCCAATGGGAGAGCAAAACACGGGTCTCCGGGCCTCTGTCTGGCACTGTTGTTCCAGCTTGGGTTAAAGAAGGGCTGTTGAAGACTCGGCTAAGTAAAACCAACTGGGCTTAAAGAAAGAAATGGGTATAGAAGGCAATTTCAGGGACAGGGCTCTAGGGGTCACCTGTTATGATAATGACACTGGTGATGAGAGCTGCCATTTGTCCAAATCCTACAGCATGGCGGGCACTTGGCACATTCACTTCATCACGGATCCTCATGCCAGTGCTGAGATGTGATGATTTCCATTTCACAGATGAGAAAACTGAGCCCCACCCCCAAAGAGGTGAAGGAAYTTGTGCAAGGTCACCCAACTCTAGATCTGTGTGACACAAAAGTGATTCTTGTCTTGCGGTCCATGTTCTCTCTGCCCAGGGAAGCTCTAAAGGAGGCAGAGCTCACCAAACTGGGACATGCCCAAGCTACAACCCTTCCCATGCCGGCCGAGTGACCATTTGACTAGTTATTCCTATTGGTCTCTATGACCTAAGAGCTTTGGCAACAGCATGTGCTATGTGTCCTGTGCCCCGACTTGTCAAATCTTGGAGCCAAGGAGAGACTTTCCTGCCAAATCAGAGGCTGGAAGTGGGGTACAACCAGGAGGGCCCTGAAAGACAGAGCAGCGATGTGGGGACAGGCAGGCAGCTGAGACTAAGACAGACTTAGCCAACCCCTCTGTACCCAAGGTGGTGGCTCAAGAGACAGAGAACCCAGGTAGGCTGACTCTGAGCCCTGACCTCTGAGCTGATCTGGGGCTCACTAATTATATTCAGAGTCCTAGATCTTGCAAAAGGGGGGAAGAAAAAAAAACTCTCACTTGATAAATCATAATAATAGTAAGAGCAATAATGAGGCCCAGAGGAGGGAGATACTTTTCCAAGGCAACACAGCTAGGCAGGCCTACTGACTCCAGCCCAGTGCTACTCAGCTTCTCTATACATAGTTTTCCTGGCAGACTTGGAGGTATCTGATTGGCCCCAGTGTCATTAGGCCCAGTTTGGCATCTGTCTCTGTTCTGAGGCAGCAAAATTTGGGACCACTTGTTGGATGGCCAGAGGTTTCACCGACATCCTGGCAGGCAACTGAATTCTTTCTAGCTCAGTCCCAGCRGACGAGTTTGAGCCTGAGACCTGGCAAGAGCTAGGATCTCTGCTTCAGAGAGTCCATCCCAGCCCCATGGGCACCAAGCTCTAAACTGAACTTGACCTCAGCCAGGACTGGAGTCAGTTTATGCTTGGCAAAAAAAAAAAAAAAAAAAATGTGACTTCCTATTTCTGAGCAGGAAAGGGCTTAGCTGACTTATAAAGCAGGCTCAGAAGTTGGACATCAAACGGATCGTGCAGAGCGCTATTGGGATGAGATAAGTGTAAAGGAATTAGAAACACACAGGCCAGATTCCCCTCTGTTTGGGGCAGAGAATGGCATGAGATGATGGAGATTGAGCTTGAGGTTAATTAAAGATGAAGCATTTGGGGAAACAGTCCAGGCACCTGACTGTGCCCAGATCTGTGCCAGGAACAGGGCCAAAAAGGTGAATTAACGCAGCATGTAATTACAGAGCACATGCAGGGCCCGGCTCACAGCACTTGGGGCTGAATGCAACCACCCTTCCTCGTCTGCAGAGTCTCACTATCAAGATGGGAAGGGCAGCCCCATCCAGCTGGTGCTCTGCTGGCCCCCGACTTTAGGCCCATTCAGCCCTCATCTTTCCAGATCCTCCCACTGGACCAGAGGGCGATTTCAAACTCTCCCTCAACCAGTCATGTGTTTATAAAAAGGCGAATGTAGCCTACAGATGAGGTAGACATGTGCCAGAGGAGAGCCAGGGCCAATGTGGGTCAGACATCCAGAGTTAGAGTTCACGGGTCCCCAAGGCCACCAAACCGAACCTGATGACTATGTCACCTGAGACCTGGAGCTCATAAACAGGAATCTGCATGGCTGGGGCACTTGAATTCTCTCATCCTGTGCCACAGAACTACTATTCTATAAGCAGCCACCTTTGGAACGTTCTATTCCCCTAGCCTATAAAATGCCCTGTTCCTCTGAGATCTTTGTGTGTATTTCTTGGGAACCTTGAAGCAAGCAGGAAAGAGGAAGACCTGAGATCCAGAAGAGTGAGGGTAGGCAGGGTAGGCAGGGTAAGCTAGTGGTGTCCCCTATCTCTCAAGAAAGATGATGGAATGGCCAGGAGCTCTCTGGGGCAGGTCACAGAGGCCATTTCTTCTGGTCATCCTCTGGTGGCTGGTCTGATGCACCAAGAACCAGGTGAAGACAAGAAGAACCCCATCATCCACGGTGGATATGTAAGAATCAGACTGCCAGGGAGTGGCAAAGGGCGGCCCAGGGACACTCCAACCCCAAGGGTCAAAGATCTGGAGGCTATAATGAGTGGAAACCTGTGCTGCCTGTGTGCACATTTATCCTTACAATGAAAGACCCAGAGCCTATTTTCCTACATGGAATGCTGGCCTCTATCACTGACCTCATCTTGACATGGACAAACCTGGGATCTCAGGTCCCTTGTCCTGAAGCTCCAGCTTCATGCCACTGTCACAAAAGATCCCAAAGTGGAGGTAAAAGTTTCCTTTACCAAAAGGCAAGTCTATTGAAAGCACAATGAAGGAGAAGAGTTCCACCCAGGGATTAAATTTTTGGGGGCATCCTTTGTGGCCGAGAACAGAATCGGGGCTGGTGATAGTTTTTGAAATGACTATGAGGTAAGAGACAGAGTCCTCCATCAGTTGTTCTAGACCCTCCATGATCTGGTCCTGCTGACCTTACTGGCCACCTCTCATGTCTCCCATTATGGAATCTCTCATCTCTCACCTCTCATCTCTCCCAGATGGAATTGTATTTGTCACTTCTAGAATAAACAGGATATTTGACATCTGCTACTCCCTGGACCTGGAAACTCCCTTCTCTTCCCCCTAACAGCTCATCCTGTGAGGATCAACCCAGATAGCCCCCTCCTCCAGGAAGCCCCCTCTGATGGCTTTGTGCTTTCATAGCATCTGTCACATACCCACTTCCATGTATTGTGACTGTCATTGTGAATTGGTTCCTCTATGAGACTGAAAGTAACTAGCAGGCAGGGGTCCCATGAATTTGTCTTTGTATCCTCCTCTGGCACAGAGGTGGTTCTCAGTAGATGCAGAGAGAGGCAAAGAGAGAGGGGAGGAAGCAGAGAGAGATGAACGAAGGTAGGAAAGAAGGAGAACTTCCACCAAGCCCAAGCTGGTGGAGGATGGTGCCCTGAGGGGGCAGTTTCCTGTCAGTGGAGGTGTTCGGTCCCCACTGACAGGAGACGTGGTAGGCGAGTTGAAGTCTTGGCACAGGACCGGTGTAGATGACATGGAGGGTGCCTCTTTGCTCAGTAAGGCTCAGGTTCTTTGAACAGTGTTATTTTTACAAAAATTCATCTCTGCAGCCAAAACTAGCACTCCAGCTGGCTGTCTAAACCAGTAGGGTTCAGGACTCAGTCCAGCCTCCCCCTCGCCCCAGTCCCGTTCTACAACTGCCCAGCCAGGTCCCCGTGAACTGGCAAGGTTGCCTGCTGCCCTGGGCATGGGAACCTCTGGAAGGGGTCAGGGGCTGGACTGGAACCCAGGCCCTCAGGCCCAGCCCAGAGCTCCTTCTCCTCCCGCCCCCAACCCTGGAAGGGAAGAGAAGGTTCACAAGAACTTACTGGTCCCTACCTGACCCTTTCCAAGGAGTATCAGCTGTCCACAGCCTTTCTCCAAAGGCAAACTGGGCTTTTCCTCTCCAGAGGTGCTCTGGGTACCCCTTCGACTGGCTGGTGACCTTGGGCAAGTCCCTGCCCCTCCCTGAGCCTCCATTTCCTCATCTGTCACATGGAGATCTTGCTTTCTGGGACTGGAATGGGGATCCATGAAAGTGAAGCTCAGCTCCTTCAGGCTCCAGGCTGAGCTGTCTCCCAGGAACCATGACTCCCGCACAGGGGCAGGGGATGTAGCAGACAAGAAAGACCACAGAGTAGCAGGCCCCTTCCACCCCAAGTCTTGCTGTAGGGAAAGTGGGTTTTGAACAGGATCCAAGTCTAAGGTGTCTCCCATGAGTGGCCAGAGACAAACAGCTCTCAGACTCCTTGGGTCCCTGGTGGCTGGGGTGGGCAGGGGCCAACTCTTGGTCAAAGGCGGCTATAGCCCCAAAGAGGAGAGGCTGGAGCCCCTGCCCCTTCCTGAGCCCACAGAGACTGCCCATGGCCCCCCATTTTGCCTCGCCATGCCCTGCGGGCTTCAGTCCTTGATGTATTTGGAAGGTGCTCACAATGTTCTTTGACCACCTCTTCCCTCGCCGCTGTGAATTGTCATGGAGAGTTCTTTAAGAGTATAATAGAAGACAAAGAAAGATGCTATTAATGTTATTTTGCCAAAAAAAATATTTTTGTAGCATAATATATTAATAAAAGACATTATGAACTCAACGGCTTGGAGTTTCTGTGTGCTGAGGGCTCCCTCCCTCCTCCTGTCAGGCACC